AAAAAGGAAAAATAAGCAGATACTATCCAAGGTCAAGGTACCAGAAAACTGCGTCAGTGTGGACAGCCAACAACGATAAATAAGTAGTAACAAGCCAAGACTAGTTTGTTACAAATGTAGAATTAATGCAGGACTTTGTATCCAGGATGGAACCAGCCCCCCTAAAGAGACGCCTGACTGGCAAAGCAATCGTCGGAGCTCTACTCTATAGTTGGTTCTGTCACTTTGCCCACACAGCTTTCTTCATAGTCCATGAAGTGAACGCAGTACTGGGGAACCTGGCTGAACAAATTTTTCTATACTGGTCACCTGTTCCTCTTTTTGTACTGTAGCTTGTAGCAGGGATTTTTTTCTTACCCAGAATCTTGTTGCATGATAGGGATGTTTAGACACCTTCAAAGGCATGCTTAGAGATAGATTCTTAGGGGCTTTATCTTTCCTTCTTCATTGTCTTGCACGTCTACCATTATATTGGCTACTTTTATGTCTGGTTCTGATATAAACTGATAACTTTACACTGTGTCTCCTAATGTGGATACTTACTATTTGTTTTATATAGAAATAGCAAGTCTTCATTTCCATCTTACTGCTGTTAGTATTACATCAAATAACATGTATTTTTGACAGAATAGGTTTACACCCGTTCGATGAGGGTATAATTGCTTACATTGGTACCTCATATTAAATTGAATAAAGTTTATGCTTTAATATTTACTTTTCTAGGCTGCCTGTTCTTTTTTCTTGTGTATTTCTATAACCAGGCTATAAAGACCTAAAACAACCTTTAAATTTGATGTTTCAAACCGGGAAGGATCTCAGGTGAAACGCTGTCATCTTTGGTGTGTACAGCATCATCTAAGGCAGGGGTAGGCAACCTACGGCACTAGTGCCATGCACGGCACTCGAGGTGTCTTTCCACGGCACTCAAGGCTGCTAGATGATCTCAACCAATCCAATGCTTTCTCACAACATGTCCTTATAGAGATGCATCAAATCAATGCATGAAAATGCAGTGTTTACATGAAAAAGCCTGCACGGACAGGCTATAGACAGGCACCAGAACCACTGCATTAAGCTGTAGTGGTTCTGGTGACTATAATGTCTCTAATTTAATTTTACGGGGTTATTCGCTAAAGTTAAAATTCAAAGTGAAATTTACATTTCAGCATAAACAAGACAAAATTTAAAAATTCTCTAAGTCAGCTATGCTTCTAGCTCGGGCCTTCACTTAGAATCCCACTTTAGCAAATCACTCTGTAATAGAATAGATTCTGTTAGTGATCCAGTATCGACACTAATTCATAATAATCCAGTACACGATCAAGAAACCTAATGCCAGCTTTGGGGTACTGCCAACGTTTAGCATGTGTCTATGCAGCCAGTAATTTACCCCAAATTCACTGATGCCGTGAGGTGAACTTTATAAACTGTCACTCTACTGCCACAGAAAAAGGTAAAATAAAATAAATAAAAAATTAAACAAAGCATCATTAATATATCACATTTACTGCTTTACTCGCCAAATATAATAATTGCATTGATTCTACTAGACCAGTGTAAATTCCCTCTGTTTAACCTTCCTTTTTTTCGGATACATTCATAAACTGCTAGGGCACTGGGTGTTTGCAGTTCTGTTCCCAGGGTAACATTGGAAGACAATGACGGAAATTTGTTGCATTATTATCTGTGTTTTTTTCACAAATACAATAAACAAATTAAACGCTTATAACTGTACACATTATAAACCGTGTTTAATTAATTACTAGAATTGATAGTCAGACAATATTTTTAATAAAGAGTTGAAAGAGCAATCATTTCTATACATTATCTGTGATGAGAGGACGCAAAAAACAAATAAAACACAAGCGATAAATGCTAAACGAACTGTATTGTATTATAATAAGTCATTTTAAAACGGCAAATTTATTGATGCGCATGATCACTACCAAGTGTTAAAGGTATTTGCAGTTTAGTGAAACATAGAAGAATAACTAGACTTGCACACAACAGAAACATTTCGTTTGGCAAAATCAGTTTGTCCAACAAATAAATAAATAATTAAATAAATATTTAGTTCTGTTAATCCAATCGTTTTTTGGACGCCATGGATGGAACCCCGAATCACAAAACAAGCAAACATGCTCATCCACTGCGTGATTCTTTTGTTCAGTTCATATGGCGTTAGGAAGTAACGGAATTGAAATGACCCAACGATCAGCCTGAATTTAAAGGGACACCAGAAAAAATACACCCTCTGCATGGAGACACTGAACTTTGCTCATAGAGATGCACTGATTCAATGTATCTCTATGAGGAGATGCTGGTTGGCCAGGGCTGTGTTTGGCTTGTACTGGTTCTACCCCTGATTTACCTCCTTGACAATCTGAGCCAACCAATGCTTTCCTGTGGGAATGCATTGTGATTGGCTGAGATCACCACTTCTGATGATGTCAGCCAAGGAGCCAAATCAGGGGCAGAGCCAGCAGCAGCATACTGGAATAAAGGTACGATTTTACTATATTTAGGGTGGTTAGGGTCTAGATATTGTTTTTAACCCTATAGGGTCAGGAATATATGTTTGTGTTCGTGACCCTGTAGTGTTTCTTTAATACAGTGAGGGAAAAAAGTATTTGATCCCCTGCTGATTTTAAATGTTTGCCTACTGACAAAGAAATGATCCGTCTATAATTTTAATGGTAGGTGTATTTTAACAGTGAGAGAAAGAATAACAAAAAAATAATGCAGAAAAACGCTTGTCAAAAAAGTTATAAATTGATTTGCATGTCAATGAGCGAAATTCTGAGAAATAGCAATATTTATATTTTTCGGAGAATACGTCTCTAACGTCTGTCAGGCAGAAACCAGACCACCCTGGAGGAGGGGGATGGGAGATGTAATAATTTCCGTTTCTTCTTCTGTGCCTTTTTCCAGTTGATTGATATATATGTCTTTTGTATATATAGTCTTGGGTCAAAGGCTCGCGACATTACTATATGTCTATATTAATGAAAAGTACTAAAACTTACTGATACCTAATAAAACAACAAAACGATGTTACATGATCATGGATGTTCAACAGCAGATGGTAATTGCTGGACCCCTGAAGAGAGAGTTACATCGTTACATAGCTGTACAAGAGTCGAGAGAAAGAGAGAGACCTTGTGTCCCTTTGTTCAGTTACTTTATAGATGTGTCCATACTGACGTCAGAGTATAACTCTAGCCATATAAGGACAAGACCCCCAATCCATATTCCAGAGTTCTCATACAAGAAAACCTTGTGAATTATTGATACCATCTGTTTCTTATGCCAATCTAGACATCCATACGTAATCAACAGAAACACAGAATATGCAATATTCTACAGGAGAGAAGGGGGTGTGCCACTGTTAGCTGTCTGGTGCCAGCCAGATGCCAATTTTGCACAGAACTGATATCATCCAGCCTGGAGGTTTATTCTGGACTGGCTAATGAGGCTACTGGAATGTATACCTCCAGCAGCTAAGGAGTTAATTTCTGTGTGTGCAATGTTTAATACACTCCAGGCACCATGACCACTTCAAATCAGTGATCTCATATGAAGGCCTGCATGTATTTTTAATGTGTAGTGACAGCTGGGTGTTCTCCCTGTCCTCTTTTAATGCTGTATGCTGTAGGTCCTTTAACTTTGTGGTCATCTCCGCCCACAGCCAACAGATTAAAAACAAATCGGCTACATTGTCATATTTTGAAGTACAAATTTTAAATTCACGTCAAATTCCAGACAAGTAACACTTTAACGAATAACCAAGATAGTGCTGTATAACAAAACGAACAACAAAATGTGTGTTAGTGTCCTTTTAAAATTCAGGGGCAGATTTCTGTGAAAGAATGACAATCTGTCATTGACATAATCCTCAGGGTAACATTGCGACTGCCTGCAGACTTCTTAACACATCTACAAACACCAAGCCGTAGCAAACAAAAACAAACAAAACCAGAAAACAACAAAAAACATTTATAAAATCTAATCATGTAAATAAATAAAGAAATGGTGTAACATTATTTTGGTTCCACACAATAAAGGAACTGCAAATGTTAGTTCCACTGGCTATTTATACCTAAAGAATATCAGCCAGATTCACCAAAGAGATAAAACACACTTTAACTCTTAGACTGAATGCCGGCGAGGGTTAACGGAGACCTTAAAGGTTCTGCACGCACAGACTTCCCATGCTAAAAGAGAAGAAAGAGAATGGCAGTGCTGGGGATTCCCTCCTTATGAAATAAATAAAATACAATTTAAAAAAATAAATAAAAACAAGACAGGAAGCCAGCTGAGAAGGGTGCCAAAAGCTAGCAACTTAGCAGAAGGACGCTAGCAGTTGTCTAATTCTTGCAGATGTCATCTGCAGATCCTCGCAGGGTAGCTGATAGGGACTGAGAGCCTACACTACATCCGCACTGATTGATATTTCACGATTCATTAAGCCATGCAATAGGGAGCTGAGGAATACCTGCAAAAATGGCAATATCAAGAACACAGAGCATGGGATGATTTGCATGTGCTGGGGAGATTTTATGAGTATCAATCTGCCCCAGGGTATAAATCGTACTATGCAGAGAGCACACATTTAGTTATGTGGGTGTAAAGGTACAATTTCACATGTAGGCTCCAGAATCCCAATAACTCCACGTGAATTACGGTGATTGTTGCTATAGCTACACGTGCCTTAGAAATATTAACCCCTTTGCCGCACCATGCCACTTTCATCAGTCTGGTACACAATCGGTCAAAACAAATAAATAATTAATGGGGGTTTTTTTTTTTTAGGAACGGGTGCAATTAACAGGACAAACTGAGTAACGTGCTGATGTCACACCACCAAAAAAATTCAATGACAAATGATGGATTTACACACACGCGTTGGACGTAGAATTTGCTGTCATACATATTGACAAAATCATTCGCTCACCACAGGCGTGCGCAGCCTATTGCATTAGGGTGTGCACCCTAAAGCACAAACACACGCCGTGTTTGTGTGTGTGTGTGTATGTATCTATATATATATATATATATATATATATATATATATATATATACACACACACACACATACACTGCTGTGTGTGCTATTAGTGTGCTGTGTGCGGTTAGAGTGGTATGTGTGAGATGGTGCTGTTAGTGTGATGTGAGGGTGTTTATGTGTGTGTGTGTTTGTGACTGTGCTGTTTGTGTGTGTATGTTTGTCCTGTGAGGGTGCTGTTTGTGTGAGTGTCGTGTGTGTGTGTTTGTGAGGGTGCTGTTAGTGTGCTGTGTGTGAGGGTGTTGTGTTTTTTTTAAAGGAGAGAGGAACCTGGCGGAGCTTCTGTCTAGAGCTCCCTGGGTCCTCTCCTGCCTCCCTCCATGCTGCTGTGGGCCGGTGAGGTAGATCTTTGGTCTCCCCGCCGGCCCATGGAGGCTTAGAGCAGAGCCGGCACTCAGATAACGCCGGCTCTGCGTGTGTGTGTGTATATATATATATATATATATATATATATATGCGCGTACACACACACATACACATTCACAGACACACACTCACACAAACACACACTCACACAGACACACACATACACACACACACATACATACACTCACAGACACACACTCACACAGACACACTCACCTCACACTCACAGACACACACACACAGACACACACACTCACAGACACACACTCACAGACACACACATACATTCACAGACACACACACTCACTCACACACAGACACACACACACTCACACACACACTCACACACAGACACACACAAGAACAACTTATTACATTTTAATTTTAAAAAAAATGTCCACCCAGCCTCCTACCTGGAGTGATGGCGTGGACTTTTCCCTGGGGTCCAGTGGGGCGGGCGCCTCTCTGCAGCTCAGCCGCGGCGAGGGAGCTGTCTGCTGTCTGCTCTCTGAAACAGGGGACGCTGAGTGCCTGCAGGAACAGCTTTCCTGCTCAAAAAAAGTGCAGGAACGCTGTTCCTGCAGGACTCAAACCATAGGCGTGCCATGGGGATTAGGGTGTGCCCAGGCACACCCGGCACACCCCGTGCGCACGCCTATGTTGCTCACAATAAAAAAATTAATTTGCTAAAAGTAGGAAATGGTGCAAAAGCCACAAGGGATTTGCAGCTTTGGGGACAACACAGGTGAAATTTAGATTTGTTTTGCAATTTAGCTTTTTTTTTACCCTACTATTCACAGTTCACTTGCCAATTCTTTTAGAATCTTTAGTGAACAAATCAAAGTGTGAATTTTTAAGTACGTATAGGTCAGTTAGAGGTTAAGCCAAGTTACAAAATCATCATCATCTAGCATCTTTAGGCAATATAGGCTTAGGTTTAAAGGGACACTATAGGCACCCAGACTACTTAAACTCATTGAAGTGGTCTGGATGCAGTGACCCGCTCTGCATGAGGACATCCAGTGTCAGTAACATCCTCATAGGAAAAACATTGAGGCAATGATTTCCTATGGGGAGTTCCTAAAGAGCTTGCGATGCTCGCTCGCTACACATGCCCATTTGCCCCATCCATCGGATGAGGTTGGAGGAGGTCTGACCCAACGCTGAGGGATATCGGTGCTGGAATCTGGTAAGTAACCTTTTTAACCCTTTAGCTGCCAAGGTGGGGGTGATGGGGGGATGCCACAGGGCACTACAGTGTTGGGAATACAGATTTGTATTTCTAACACTATAGGATCCTGTTAATCACTACACACCAAGTGAATTTCAAAATGAAAAATTAGTAAAAATATTTTCCAAATAAGCAACCATTGGTTCAAATTTTGTCATTTTGTTTTCAATTCAATAAAATTCAGTGTGTAAAATTCTAGAAGTGGACGGGTTAAACTATTATGAAATAAAAATTTTTTAAATGTTTGATATTTTTATTGTTTGAAAATAAATGGAATTAAATTGGATCTGTTCCCTGTAGAAAGGACAGCTGGGTTGTATCGGAATGATACGACCATGTACTCTGCAGGCCCAACAAACCGGAATGCAGCTAACCGTACAAAGACATTGCATAACTTATTGGCTTATTAATAGAATGTTTTTTTATTCTCACGCTTTGTAACCCTAGAGGAACCCTGAACTTGTGCAGCCTCTCAGGTCCCCAACCCTAAAATCTGGGTCCTACATGCTCGTAATCCCCAGCGAAACAGAATATAGATACACAATTCCCTGTATTAATCATATAAAAGAGCCCCCTCCCCTTACTCCCACCATAGGAACGCCTATTACTTATTGTCCTGGAATGATCATGTACAATAACTTGTGCACGGGTGACGTTTGAATAAAGTGATGCGAGGAGGGGGGAGAGAAAAAAGGCTCAGTGGGCTGTGGGTGGATCACATTGAGATCCCATCCTCCCATCTTACTAGGGCAGTCAGCTTGCCGGATTCTCTCTTCATTCAGGAGCAGGGCTAACATCTGCAGTAACAGGCAGCAATGGTGAGTACATTCAATGGAGTGAATGCGTGCACTTTCAACATCTGCCCATCCAGTATCCCTTCTACAACAAAAAAATCTAAAAATGCAATTTTTTTATTATTTTCTTTGTCTCAGTGCTGGGAGACTATGGTTCTTTTTAAAAAAAAAATGTATTATCTGCCTCATTAACCAAATAACCTGAGCTTGCTATATGTAAATTGCAGATGGAACTCCATGTAAGATAAATAATGTGTATAACTGCAGTCTGGAATGTTCAGGACTATGGCAGATGGGGTGAGGGGTGGGGGGACAAATATATATATATATATACATAAAATCCAAGTGGAGGGCATTTGTTATTATGGAGTATAGAAAAAGAGAATATGATCTCTTATTGCTTCTGCAGAACCCTTTATGTCTGGGATTTTGGGTTCAGAGTGAATTCACGCCTGAGTCTTGGTTGGAGGCATTTAACCCTTTCTAAGCCAGAGGGAGGTTGATGAATGTAATAAGTATGCAATAATATAGATGAAATTGGTCTCTCTAGTTTTCATAGATTCTTGAAGACTAACTGGGCAACATGGTATGGGTGCAAAATAAATAGATCATTTTTAAAAAATGAATTTGGGAACATTAAAAAAGAAAAGCAAATAATGGTTGTGTACAGCTTGCTGGGAATGTGGGCTACACATTGTTTCTAAAAAAAAAAAATGTTTGTCTTCTCCCCTGTTTCCACCACAGCGCAACTTGCTGAGGATTTGGTTTGTAAGCCTACAATAGGTCTGGATATGATTCGGGGTCTCTACACGTCTTTAAGGAATATTCGCTGGAATGTATCACCATAATGAAAATGTAGGTTTTACCACATGCAGGAAAATATATGAGACGGTGTCTGGCACACTACGATACCACCTCCGTCTGACTTACAGGCACACTGGATGAAGGGAAGCAAGCTGGATTGATGGATAACACATTTTTGGGGTTTTTGGATGTAAGACTGTAATTACAACAGGCATCCTCCAAACTGCAATACAAATATTAATCAATAAGTAACAAACTTTGGTATTTTATAGGTTTGTGGAAAATCTTGGATACTGTTGACCATGAGGTGGCCACTCGTTCTACTTTTTGTGATCTACCTAGATCCGCTAGGTCTTCGGGATGACTGCGAAGCCGCAGCCAAGGCTAAAGGAAAAAATCAAGGTCAATCTAAAAAGCCTGGAAATCCCAAAGGGAAGGAACTTAACAATACAGCTGTGCCTCCCGTGGTGACCACCAAAAAGGTCAAACCTCCCATTGTGCTAGCATACGACAGATGTATGGGCTACTATGATGTCAGTGGGCAATGGGACAAAGAGTTTGACTGCAACCACACTGTCCACTCGTACTGTTGCGGGACATGTTCTTTCCGATATTGCTGTGACACGAAAAGCAAAAGACTTGACCAGGTATCCTGCAAAAAGCCTATATGGCCTGAGACGGCCAGCACTAGTGTCATTGATGTGGTGGAAGTAGACGCCTATGACCCACTCAATGACAAAACCAACACAACTGTCTACATCACCTGTGGTGTAATTGCCTTCATATTTATTGCGGGGGTCTTTGGCAAAGTGGCTTATGACAAAGCAAGACGTCCTCCTCGGGAAATGAACATACACAGGTAATGTGGGGACCACAAGGGTGGACAATAAACAAAAAGTGGGAGAATGGGGCAGCTACATGTTTCTTGCTTGTCATTTATACTAATGATACATTTTTATTAATTTGTATGTTAGTAGTAAAAATTACGTTAGTGAATTTTGTTCACTATGTAATTTATAGAAGAAAAAAAAATCTCGGCAGATGCTTCTTCTGGCTGTTTCGAGCCACTGGCACCCAGTCAATAACAGAAGTAGTGCCATCAAATGATAAAGTGTTTCTATTATAAACGTAACACTGGGTCACCATAAGCGGAAATTTATAGTGACCCTTCGAGACATGGAATGGCATTAAGCTCACACTGACCAATGGATTTGCAATGTTTCGCAGATCCAACTTGATCGGTAAAATTGGTAGCATTAAATTGGTGGCTACTTTGTAATCAGTGATGCTTTGTTGATGGTTTTCAAGTTAGGGAGAAAGATTTAAATATGCCACGGGGTGAAACTCACTCCTGTATTACTAAAGCAAAATTTACCAACTGAAACTTAAATTGTCCTTCTAAACCTGTGTTACGTGCTACTGTACTTTTTGCTTGGATGAAAAAGATTTCTGTACCTATATTGGAGGGGAGTGAGGCTGATAACCTCGTCAAAGAATATGGGGCAAACATTTTATTTTGAGGTTTGTTCCTTTCTCATTATATTATGTATTTATTATGCAACTATACGATTTACTGTCCGCTTTGCAAACTGGACATTATGTAACTATTTAACCCTTTGTGTCCCGGAGCAATGAGCAATGCACATATGGAAAGGTAGGTCTGCATGCATGTCTCTTTTACTAGCATTACATGTCTTCCCACTATACAACTAAGAGGTAGGCATGCTAAATGATGTATTAAAAAAACAGATTAGCATATTTTTGGCTAGTTACAATTTAGTTGGGAATCTAGCTGTGTGTTTTCTGACAGCCATTTTTTGCCTAAATTTTCCAAATTGAGTTTTAGATTTATC